GGGAAAGAGCTCATTGTAATAACAGGATTGATTACCTCTTTTCCCCATTCAGTTTACTCTTCATAATCACAACTTATAACATGAATTGCTTCCTTAATCAGTAATCAGGTGTTGGTGCCTTTTGGAAGTCCACCATCTTCCTTTTAAAGCAGACGCAATGAAAACTGGTGATTGTCTACATCATTTCTCTAAATTTTTCAGGGACATGAATGATGATTCCTCTTCCCCATCAAAGCCTTCAAGCTCTTGATCACTCTCTTCAACATCAGATGTGGACTGAGTCACCAGAACAAGAGCTGCAGCATGAAGGCCAGCAGCAACTCTTCATGTTTGACCTTTTCTCAGAAGGTGGCCATAGCCATATAATGCCTGCCTGATGAACACACATCCAGTACCAACATACATAGGCCCTTGAATCCCATCAAGGCATTTCATGTTGATCTATGATATAAACAAAGCAAAATTCAAGAAAGAAGTTAAGGATCAGTTAATGAAATTGCAATTCGTATCAGAGTTTAGAAGAATATTCTTTACATCAAAGAATACAGTATTGTGATTAGCATATCAGTCATTGCAGTCGATGCCATCAAATCTTTGTGAAAATTGGACATAACGGAACTTCTTTCCAAGTTGGGCGTCCATAAAAAGCACATAGCCTCCCTAAGAACCTTGCTATTATTGATGTATTGGTCACAATCCAGATTCAATGCAAAAGGTGCATTGCTAAGCACAGCAGAAACTCGCATCTATTGAGGACATACAGCATTGCAAGAGTTATAAACTGTTTTTCTAATACCATGTTGTTCTTAAATACTTAATGTTTTAGGCTTTAAGCTACTAACCAGAGCATTCATGGCACCAGCTTTTTCTGTGATGTTGATAGCCAGGACGTTTTTCCTGTGAAACATACACAAGCCTTGGCAGTTCCTTGCCTTCCTTGTCCAGTGCACCAGCACTTCCTAGACATGCCCGCAAAGACAAGTCATGGTTCCTTGGTTTGTTGATTATCCAAAGTTTTGAAGAAAGACTAATTTTTGAGACTGAATTTCAACACCCTCCCCCAAGTTTGATTTAGAGGACCTAAATCAATAATAATTAACATTTGTTATTGGAACAAAATCCTAATGCACATCAAACAATGGCTAAACCTGAATCATTCCTGGATGATCATCAATGTTGTTCCCAGGCCATGGATTACCCATCTTGCATCACCCACCCCTCTTCTGGTTTTTTTCTGATCCTTTGCAACCAACACATTAATTTTCACCTTGAATTCTCCATACTCTCTCTGCAAATGTGCAAAGGAAAAACCCTAAAAGTCTCACATGGACAATAGAGCAACATCAAAAAAAAGAAAAAAAAAAAAAACTTTTTTCATGGCTTATCTATGTAGTCCCCACCTTCATGGCCCTGCGATCCTTAACAAATGTGGGTGCACCTTATCTTTCAAGTAATCAAGTATCTGAGAGAAATAAAACTACGGTGCCCTCGACTCAATGTTATACTTGTTACAAAAAGGAACCCATATTCCGGTAAACTCAACAGTTTCTGACAAGGTATCAAAGAGAAGCATAGATGCACTGTCATCTGAGACATAGCAGCTAACCTTCTCAACAGGATAATCAAGTTTCTTTCATATTATTGACACTCAACCACCACGTTTTGATGCATTTATCTGCATGAAGTCGATTATCATAAAATGAATTAAAATGTGACGGCGCAATCAATTACAAGCGCCTTGTTGATGAGAGTTTCCAGCAACATGCATCTAAGCCTGCAATTGGCAACAATGAATTTAACTGCCTAATAATTGAATCGAGAATACTAGTTACACTCAAGTGTCCTTATGAGACAACGTATACAATAATTGAAAAACAAACACCGAATGTGTGCACAAATGTGTTTAGACGACAAACTCACTTTTCAATTCTTCAGAATTTATCTAACTATAAAAGCACTTCACAAACAATAGCAAAATTAAAAAGAGACGTTGATGAAGACAAGAACGACGTGAAAATCGAACGCGTTTAGGTGTAGTGCTTAACGACGATACATAGGACAAAAACGATGGGCTAAGCAGGTGGTGTGAATCGGAAATACCGAAGCCCAAACGACAAAGAAACAAAGCTATATACAATCTCCAAATAATAATGTATTGTGCATTATTGATTTGTTTTTACCCTTCATGGCCCTGCGATCCTTAACAAATGTGGGTGCACCTTATCTTTCAAGTAATCAAGTATCTGAGAGAAATAAAACTACGGTGCCCTCGACTCAATGTTATACTTGTTACAAAAAGGAACCCATATTCCGGTAAACTCAACAGTTTCTGACAAGGTATCAAAGAGAAGCATAGATGCACTGTCATCTGAGACATAGCAGCTAACCTTCTCAACAGGATAATCAAGTTTCTTTCATATTATTGACACTCAACCACCACGTTTTGATGCATTTATCACCAAATTCAAATCCTTTTCATTAGTTTGGCATGGAAATGGAATCTTCATCAACTCCTCCTCCTCCTCCTCCGAAGTTCCGCTTCAGAGACCACTCAGAACCGGAATCTGAAAACTCATCGGAGCCAAGCTCCGGCGTCGTTTCCACCGTGACACCGTCCAACACTGATCCCGATGATGCCAACCTCCAAATTGAATCCATGACCGCAAGAGTACTCTCATTTTCCAACTCTTTATTTATTTATTTATTTATTTTTACTATGTTTTTGGTAGTAATTTTTATTAGAGATTGGCCACTTCTCCGATCAGTTTTTTCTTTCCTAGACAAGATTATTTTAATTGTTTATCTCTCTATATATTTTTATTTTATTTAATATTCATATTTATTCAATCTAAATGGGAAAAATAAATAAAATAAGTTATGATGTGAGAAAGGTATAGCATAATTGGTCATTGGGTTATTGATGATGACAGGGCATCAAGCATCTGTGTGATGAACTTCGAGAGCTACAGGACGCAGCAAATGAAGATTTGCAGAAAAATATATTTAGCAAATATTCCACTTTCCTTAGGTAATTAAAATCTCCAACATTTTTTTAATGTTTATCGTGAACTATATCAACTAGTATATGATTTACGACTCTTATTGGGGTATTAATATTAATTGAATTTTCTAATAATATAATTAGATCATAATATTTGACATGAGGTAATATACATGAAGTTTTAAATTCAAACTCAAATGTCATCATTGAAATTTTGAATGGACAGAAGAAAATATATCAAGTTTTAAAACAAAAAGTTAGTTCACAACAATTTTTTTAATTTTATTTTTTCTATATACTTTGTGAAAAGAGTTATCTTTACTCTTTCTAACTATGTTTTTTCCTCATTCAACATTTTTTCACATTTGATAATTAAAGAGGGTGTAAAAAAATTTGATGTGAAATGAAAATGTTTTCGCATAAGGAATTTTTGTTAAAAATGCACACTATAAAGGAAATTAAACAAATGTTATTTTTATCTTTAAATTAAACTTATAGACCTATGAATATGATTCATGATTTATTTTTTTAAACAACCCTCAATTTCGAATAATTCCTAACAAAAATGTTCATTTCATATTACTTGTTTATGCTCTTATGTGTGTAGAATATTAGAGGAAGTGATAGGAGTGGATAATGAGTTTGTGCAACTGGGAAATCATTTCGTGTCTCATAAAAAGCAAGTAAATGATCTTATAGATCGAATATATCCAAAGATATTGTCCATAGACATAGCATTGGAAGACCACATAAATGTTGTCCCTTCTCCCCGCAGTGAATTGGAAGTTCATATCAATGAATGTTTAGACAATTTTGATATTCTCATATCAGAAAACAAGATAGATGAAGCCTTGCACCTTCTAGAATCTGCAGATGAACATTATCAGAACATTCAGTCACAAGATTGTTCCCATAGTGATATAATGTTATACAACTCTCTAATTTCTGAGAAAAAGTCCATGCTTATACAACAATTGACACAAATAGTTGAGAATCATAGAACAACAAGACCAACACTTCAAAGGGCACTAGTTGGACTTAGCAAACTTGGAAATAGTCAACTTGCTATTAATTTGTTGCTTCAACATTACCATTTGCGAATTGAGTCTGGAACAAATAATTTGCAGTGGGCAAATTCATCATCAAGTGAGATATATATAAGGGAACTTGCAAGGTTTGTGTTCTCAATGATTTCACAAGCAGTAAGGAGCTTTGTCATGTTGTGTGGAGAAATTTCTCCTTATGCCTCAGAACTCATATTGTGGGCTAATGAAGAAACAAAATCATTTATCATTTGTTTTGACAAATATATTAAAAGTGCCTCTACAATAAGTGGAGGGTTGAATTCAACCATAAAAGCTGTCAAGTTTGCTATCATGTATTGTTCTTTGTTAGAAAATCAGAAATTGGTGTTGAGGCCATACTTAGTGGAGCATCTTTGTGCCTACATGGAAGAGGTTTTAAGTACACATATAAACCACTTTAAGAAAGTGATTTTTATCTTCTCAACAAGTGATCCTTGGGTTTTGGAGAAGTATCTTGTATCTGGAGTGTTTGTTGGGGCTGGATCTTCAAGTTTAACTGTTAGGGAACAACATGACTATTGCTTACTAACTACCAGTGGCAGGAAGGTTCTGACACTATTGCAGGTTTGTTCTATATAGTATTAGATGCTCTTTAATGGAAAGTATATTTCTAAAGATGACTAGGTGGATTTTAACATTACAAGTGTTAAAAATATAGTATAAGACAATTTATCATTATTATTATTATTATTATTATTATTATTGTTTTGCTTGCATTATAAAAGGGAAACTATTACATCAATCACTAGGATCCTAGTGATGGGAATAGTAGATATGAATTAGGTTTAATTTTCATTGTTATCTATGTAATCTTTCTGACCGAAAAGACAACTATTGCATGAAAAAAATAGGAGAGTTTATTATATTCTGATTTATTTGTTATTGTTAATTTGTAATCAGGCAATAATGGAAGATATTTCTCCTTTAGTATCCCTTCAAATGGGAAGTTTAGTCATTAGTGGAATCACGAACCTCTTCACAGAGTATATTGTCATACTTGAAAAAGCCCTTACTTATGAAACTATTACAATGGAACAAGGTAGTCCAAGAATAAAAGCTGAGACACTATCACAACAAGTTTCTATTTTGGCCAATTTATCAACGTTAGTGCAGTTTCTCTCCATCATGGTCAAAAATATATTTGGCAGCAGTGGCCATTTACAGATATTGGAAAATCATTCAATTGTTCAACAACAACAAGCACTTGATGATTTCCTATTGTTTATTGAAGAGGGTTCCAATAAGTTGAGAAATGTGTTCGGCCAACAATTAATTCAAAGAGTATCGTCAACTTACCAAAAGCATGAAATATTTTCGGCTAGTCATTACAATGACAAGTTTGATGCTAACACCATCCATAATCCAATGCCTTCTGGTATCTTTCAGGTATTATTTTCACAAAATTAGTAAAAGACTATTGATAATGATGATACATGAACACAAGAGATTGAGACACTAGGTGGTTGAATGAAATTTTCAAGTTTTCTCTTACTTTGTAGCACCAAAAAGGTGTAGATAACTATGGATAAGTAGTTGCTATCTATTTTTGCATCCCATTAAGCTTATGCAATATTTTTATTTTGATTATTTTTTCACTAAGGACAGGTTTTATTTCTAGAATTGAGAAAAATAGAACGACTTGAGGAAGAAAATGTGTTTGAAGTAAATTGGTTGGTGGGATTACTAAGAGAGTTAATGGAATCTATGTTTATTTGGATTTCAACCAACAAAAAGATGCTTACAAGCTCACAAACTGATGAAGCCAAACAGGTTTTTAATTCCCTCCATTTTCTTTATCTTGTAGGTTTGCTAATAGAGTAAAAACATCATTGTAGCTAATTTGCAATTTTGTACTCTTCATGACACTGAAGTTAACCCAAACACAAATTCATTTATAAGACTATATTGTTGGTGACACGAGGTTAGTTGTAAAAAAGTTTATGAGGGTATGAAGCATCGTAACAAGGTAGCTATTATCATGATTTTTACCTATGAAAAGTGATTCTCATCCATTTTCATTTTTGTATTGAGCAGTTTATATTGGATGTGCAATTCTTGGTGGAAATTGGAATGTATGGAGGATATTTCTCCAACGATCCTTTACTCATTCTCACTCTCATGAAATCAACCTTCAATTCAGTCGGACTAAACCTTTTCAAGTAATGCATTTTCATTTGTAGTGCTTCAGAAATTCAAAGTTTTTATTATTATCATTCATAGTTCTTCAAACTCAAAAACTATTTAGTCATTCATGTCACGTAATTCTTGAAAAAAAAATGAACAATACACACATGACATCATGTGAAAAAGGACAAATAAATTTTATGAGTAACGATTTCATGGCATATTGAAGTGGAAGTCTTTCCTAACCCCTGTAAGCTCTCTTTTAAGATTACATTTGCAAAAAAAAAACATGGTTCTTCCAAATTCATATTATTTGGTCCTTTATTTTTCTCTCTTGTTTTCATAATCACATAGTTTGAAACTATTTCCATTTTCTTTATATAGTCTACAATAGTCAAGAGGTTGTTATGTCATGCATGATATTAAAGGCAACCAAAGTTTCAAATAGTGACCAATAAGGTGATATCTCTTGATGGTGTTCTTTTTCAGAGATGTAGATAATGATGATTGGGCTATAGATGTTGCTACTAAAACAATTCAAAAGTTGTTGGAGATTGAGAAAACAAGTTTGCATCCAAAAAAACCTGTAGTTACCATCAAAGAAGAGTCACAAGAGCATGAGAATCTAATCAATCAATCAACATATGAAAGAGATTTTTCAGAGGAAGATGATATAAATTCTTCAGAGAATAATGTAGGAGATACATTGGTTGCAGAGAAAAATGAAGTTGCCAAACATGAACCACAAATTGATATTGATGCAAAAACAACTTCACAAGACATAGTATCAAGCCCTGGAGAGGGATCAATGAATAAAGATTATGTTGATACAAACACTTTAAATTTGAGACCACCTTCTACTGTGACTTTGCAAATAGAGAATAATGATTTTGAAGAAGCTACAGATACAAAAAATGATGAATTGGCTACAACATCTTCCCTTAGTGAGTTATTAGAATAGAATTTTGAGGAACTAAATCAATATCAAATGAATGATCCTTATTTATATAATTTATTTAGCATATATTTACAAAATTTAATTTTATACTTTGCCTTAAGGTACTTATTTGAATGCCTTTAGACTAATGTGTTGTGTTAGTGCCACACATAACTCATCAACATGACTAAGCCTATTTACCAGAATGGTCAAGTTCAAATAATGTTATCATTTATGAATTTTTTTTTTAAAAAATTGATCTTATATTAAAATTTATATTATAAAAAATTAAAAATAAATTTCAACATTTTTTTGTTTTTCCAATAAAAATGTAAATGTAATTTTAAAATGCAAGCAATAAATTTTGGTGTAGTTTATGATTAATTTCTTTAGTTAAACTCCATGTCTTTTATCTCTCCTTTGTATCATTTAACAAATTTTTTTTATAACACAATAATTTCATTATGAGAAGAAAATATTATAAAAATGATTATGGAGTTGAAAATCTCAACCCATACTCAATTTTTTGAACAATCTCCCATAGCCCAAAACCCTTTTCATGGTTATCTATGCTTCACTACACATTTAATTTTAGAATTGGTGTATTTAGAAATGGAGTATGCCTCTAAACCTTTTAGTTTCCAAATTCCTTAAATGGTATCTGTTTCTTAAATTTTATATCTCTTCATAAAAAAAATTAGATTCTTTCATATCTTTAATTTGAATTTCCTAAATGAACAAATATGTACCTACATAAGATCAAAATAAATAAAATCCATTGTTTGCAGATCATAATTGAGCAATTTGATAATTAAATTACCAATAATGACATGTGCTAAAAGAATCTCAAAATTAATAAGCTAAGAAAGATATTGATCACAAAATACACTTGGGTCATTATTACTTGTGTGGATGCAGGTTATAAAATTCAAATTAATTTGAATCTCTCTTTGAATAATCAATATGTAGGTGGCGTGAGTTTTTTTTTTAGACTAATTAGCATTAAATACAATTCATTTGAATGGCATTGAAGAGTTGAAGACGATAGTTGCAATACGAAAGACAAGATAAGACAACTTTGTCGAACCCATTTCTTGTAATCGTTAGACACTAAAACATCAAAAAGGAAAAAAAAATAAAAAAATAAAACTGATTAGTAATAAATTCCTCTTTCAAATAATGTTGAGGTTCATTTTTTTTTTGTAGCTAATCAATTCTCAATGTAAGGCTCAAGTTAAGATCATTGACTCTGGAAACAATTGTAAAGATCTGTCAGATCTGTCAGATAAGTTAACTTTTGAAAAAAAAATATTGAGAAAGAAAAAGAAAGATCTATATATCCATATTTAATTTCATGCTCTTTCCAATCTTATCACTTGACCATGGTCATATCATACCAATATAATGTAGTCACTTGCCATCTTCATATTGTTGACCATTATTATTTTCGTCAAATTGAAATGAAAAATATTTTATATATACCTTATCCTTATATCTAAATTTTTTAAAAATACAATTGGTCATTCAATCGCTCTAAGTACTAATTTAAAATTTAATGATTTAATTATAGTTAAATTGTGATCAAATTAATATTAATAAAATAATAATAATAATAATTAATATAAAATTAATATAATATTATAATTTTATAATACTAGAATTAAAACAAAATATTATTTATAAATTCTTGACATTTAATATGTACGTAAAATTTTAAACTATATATAATATAATATTTAAGTTTAAATTTTAATAAAATATAACAATATCTATTAATAATAACAAATTTACATCTAGAATAAAAAATATTAAATAATTATAATATAAAATATGAATAATAAAGATAATAAAAAGTATAAATTAACATAAATGATTAAATTATATTTATGAAATAAGTATTAAAAATAAATTATTCTAACTTATATTTTTTTATTAAATATTGTTTTTATTAAAACTATATTAAACTAAATGTCAAAAATTAAAAAAGTAATTTATGTAACTAGACTGATTTTTTTTTTGAAAATTTTAATCAATTCTATCAATTTAATGCAAAATTGTTCTCTCAGACAATCAAACCGGTTTAGGATTTCGGTCAACTAATCTAATTAGTTGGTTTGATTTGATTTTCAAAATTATGCTTATCTTTAAGTATTTAATTTGTTTTGATCTCTTGTATCTTATCTCTACACACATACCATTTTTTGCGATACATAAATAATTAAGTATGAATAAGATGTAATATTATCAAATATTTAAAAAGAAAATATGACTTTTGAGATATATTATTTTATATTTTAACAAGAAAAAATATTTATGTATTAATTATAAAAAAATTATCAACAAATCATTGATCTGAGTAATATTAAACTTCATCATCTTAAATAAAATCTCAGGTTCCAATTTTTTGAATGGAAAAAATATGATTAGAAAATCCACTAAGAGTGATAAGTTAAATTTTTGACAGAAATTAATTTTTAATAAAATAGATAAATACTTAGTTACTTCGAAAAACATAAAAAAAAATACACTATTATCTAATATTATGTATGATATGTTATCAACTTTTATAATGATTATTTAAAAGTCATATATGATTGAGAATGTAAAATTATTTTGCATGTATAGAAGTTATACTATTTTTTTTTAACAAATATTCATATATATATATATATATATATATATATATATCCATAAATATTAATAAAATTTATAGATGCATGCTTATCAAAAATTAGAATGAGTATGAAACAAATTTTTATCTATGTTGACAAGAGATTATCTTTCTTGTCTCATTGTCTATAAAATTATTTTGGGGGTGTGAATTTCACCTTGAAAACATAAAGTTTATTTCATATTATTGACACTTAACCACCATGTTTTGATGCATTTATCTGCATCAAGTATTATCATAAAATGAATTAATTAAAATGTGATGATGCAATCAATTACAAGCGTCTTGTTGATGAGAGTTTCCAGTAGCATATTGTATATGTTTCCAGCAACATGCATTTAAGTCTGAGATTGCCAACAATGAATTTAACAGCCTAATAATGGAATCGAGAATACTAGGTATGCTTAAGTGTCCTTACGAGACAACGTATGCAATAATTGAAAAATAAACACCAAACCCAACGAATGTGTGCAAAAATGTGTTTATAGAGTTTAGACTACAAACACAGTTTTCAATTATTCATAATTTACATTTTCTTGAGCGTCTAATTGGGATGAAATTTATTCAATATATAAAATTGACAAAACTATAAAAGCATTTCACAACCAATTGCAAAATCAAAAAGAGACGTTGATGAAGGCAAGAACGACATGAAAATCGAACAAGTTTATTTATAGGTTAACGACGATACGTAGGACAAAAATGATGGACAAAGCTAGTAGTGTGAATTGAAAATACCGAAGCTCAAATGACAAAGAAATAAAGATGTTGTATACAATCTCCAAATAATACTATATGTTCATTATGGATTTTTTGCTTCACTTTCATTTTAACACCAAATTAAAATCCTTTTCATTAGTTTTGCATGGAAATGGAATCTTCATCCACTCCTCATCCGAAGTTTCGCTTCAAAGATCACTCAGAACCTGAATCTGAAAACTCATCGAAGCCTAGGTTTGCATCATTTCTGCCATGATACCATCTCTAACAGTGATCTCAATGATGTCAACCTTGAAATTGAATCCATGACCGAAAGAGTACTTTCCTTTTCTAACTCTTTATCTCAGTTTTTTTAATCATGTTATTAGTAAGAAATATTTACCAAAAAAGTTGTGACTAATCTCTATTGAAGAATCTAGTTGACTATCTTTTAGGGTCTTCTCTTTTAACCAATTTTTTTCATACACAAGACTTTTAATTATTCATCCCTATGTATATCTTCATTTTATTTAAGGTTCATAATTATTTAATCTAAATGAAAAAAAGAAAAAAATAAGTTATAATGTGAGAAAGGTATAGTAAAGTTGGTTGTTGGGTTTAGGTATAGCAACGGGTAGGGCGGATGCAAGTTTCAACATCCCGATCACTATCCTTATTTTCATATCTTATACCTATCCTTATTCCCAATATCTAATAGATATGAAATTTGTGTCTTATGCTATGCCCGCCAAATATTAGGCAGACTTGTACTCGTATCTGAAAAAGAATAATTAAATATACTTTTTGACCAAGGATTAAGGAACACGTCACTGCAAACCCCTCAATTCCCTTCATGACCAAAACCTGTTGTCGCAACCCTTAGGTCAACCCTGACTCACCAGTTGCCATGTGACCAACCCCTACCTTTTCAGCTATCACATGACCAATCCTTAGTCTCCTAGCTGCCACGCGAAGAACCCCCAACCACCATGAGACCAACCCCTAACCAACCCTCGAGCCCTCTTCCCACCACGCCCTCCCACCACGCCCTATCTTTGAGACTTAAGCCATCGTATTAGGCTGGTCACCACACAGGTACAACCAGAAAGACTAAAACAGGGATAAAAATTGACTAGAAGCAAGCTCGATCATGAGGAAGTTGAAGGAAGCGAGTTTGACCTTGTGAGGAAGACACATCGGTGAGTGAATCTAATTTGTGAAAATGTTTGAACTTTGAAGTGTTTCTTTAATTGATGTGTCTAATTTGTAACCTTAAGGGAGTAAGTGATGAAAAATGTAAGTATTTTAAAAATTTTAAAGTGGGTACAAATACAAGAATAGGTACGAGGATGGGGTGGCTAAGTATATACTCATCTCCATCCCCGTCCTCAATTTAATAAGTTACACATTACTTGTGCCTATACTCGTATCCGATCAAATTGAGTATTCTCTATCAAAGTTGAGACAAAAAAATATTTTTATTATTATAGGGAGAAAAGTAGTTTATATTATTTATTTATTTAATTATTTTGGGGAAGAGAGAGTGGGTCGAGAAGAGAAGTGGGCTAGGTTGCCTTAGCCCAAGGGAATTTTAAGAAAGGAGTCAGACATAGTTAACCTTATCTGCCTCATTTTGCATTCTGAAGGGTTAGGAGGGAAAGATTTTTGTGAGTCTTTG